GATGCCCATCAATTGGGGAATGGCTGAACAAGTTGTGCTATATGAATGTAATGGAATACTATTGTGCTATAAGAAATGATGAGCAAGCAGACTTCAGAAAAACCTGGAAAGAATTGTATGGACTGATGCTAAGTGAAGTGAGCAGAACCAGGAGAATGTTATACACAGTAATACCCACATTGTGCAATGTCTAACTTTGATAGACTTAGCTCTTCTCAGCAATGCAAGGATCTAAGACATCTCCAGAAGTCTCATGGTGGAAAATGCTATCCACATCCAGAGAAAGAACTGTGGAGTCTGACTGCAGATTGAAACATACTATTTGTTCTTTTTTTTTCCTTCTGTTTTGTTTTGTTTCTTCTTTCTTGTGGTTCCTCCTATTGGTTCTAATTCTTCTTTACAACATGACTAATGTGTAATACGAATATATATGTAGAGCCTATATTAGATTGCATGCCGTCTTGGGGAGGTAGAGAAAATTTAAAACTCAAAAGCATATGGAAGTGAATGTTGGAAAAAAAAACAAAAACGGGCTCAGAGTACCATTCTAAACATGCTACCACCTTAATCTTCTTAATGGATAGTTCTGATGATGTCATTCCCAGCTCAAAAGCCTTTAACAACTCCTTGCTGCTTCATGAATCAACAAATATTTTGGCCTCTCATTCATGGTCCTTTACAAACTAGCATCAGTCTACAACTCTGTACTACTCTATACTCAAAATCATGCTTGATTAGTCCCCTCACCAAATATGTCCATGATTCTCTACACCGTGTCTTTGCTTATGTCGTTCCTGAATCCTAGAACATCCTGCCATCCACCTTCTTCTTCTGAAACTGGATGCTTGCTTCAAAGCCCAACTTAAATGCCCCCTCTTCCACAATGCCTTGCCTGATTTCCTACAGCCAGAAATGATCTTTCCTTCCTCTGTATACTCAGATAATTGTTTGTCCTTCTTACCTACTTGTCATATACTATCTGTAATATTTGTAATTTATGCAAATGTTTTAAACCTCCACTTCTAGGTTTTAATCTTGAAGACAAGAGACTATCTCTTTAGCACTTGCACATAGCTGATTCTCTCTCTCTCTCTCTCTTTTTTTGGTTAGGCAATGGGGTTAAGTGACTTGCCCAGAGTCACACAGCTAGTAAGTGTTAGGTGTCTGAGGCCAGATTTGAACTCAGTTCCTCCTGAATCCAGGGCTGGTGCTCTATCCACTGTGCCATATAGCTGCCCCATAGCTGATTCTCAATATGGTAGATTAAAAACTATATGGTTTTAACTATTTCTATGTCCCCTTGCCCAAATTCTCAGAAGGATCTTTTACACAGTAAGTACTTCATAAATGTTTGCTGAATTGAATTGCCAGAAGTATATTTCCACCTCTAAGCAAAGCCCCTTACCAACCTCTCTATAAGTTAATGCTAGGGTTGGAAAGTGTGAGGATTCTTCAGGGGAAGTAGAACAAGGAAGAGAAGAAAACAAGTCATCAAAGATTAACTTTGTATCCTAATTTCAAATAATTTTTTTGAACAAAGATTCTTATTCTTTCACAAACACTAGCATCACTTGAAACAAGGCCAGAAAAACTTACTTTAATTTTTAAAACAAAAATTTCGATGGAGAAGCAGAGGATATATAGATATAGATATTTCTATCATCTAGCTCCTTCCTTTGTTCAACAGCCTTTAGGAGGCTAATGGATGCAGGTGGGATGCAATGGGAGCAACTGGACTTAACCATACCTAATGACAGCCTTGTGTAGCTCTCTGATCTTGTGATAATCACACTTGGCTTTCCAAAGGCTCAGAAAGACCATTGCTTCTGTCATCATCTTTCTATTTCCCTTAGAGCCATTTCTGGAAGTGACTTAAGAAGATTAATATATAACAGTATATTTTTGTCATAATGAGGATGAACCCCCAATCAATAGGAAAGATCCTGCCTGAACCTAAAGACCAAAACGAAAAACTATAATCACAAACAGTACACAGAAGAGCTTTCCCTTCAATAAGAGGAAACCTTCCCCGCTCCCCACTATATTTAGTCGTAAAACTCTCATTGTTTCTTTGAAAAATATAATGCATTTATGCTCACAAGATATTATTAAGGATGCATGTAACTGGAAAAGATGGCAAGCTGGTCATTTAGCAAGAATAAGAGATAACAGTCAAGGGAGTAATACAGAGGTACCTCTAAGACACTGAAAGAAAAAAGTCCTTAGAAATCTTAAAGAGAGCTCCTCTGGAGGATCATTGGAGAAGCATGGATAAGAGTCATATACAAAGAGGAAGGTATGAATATGCTGTCATCAGCACCGACAGAGGATGTTCATGGCAAACTTCAAACTTTGTAGTAATTCATCACAGAAAAAACTCAAGTGAAAGTTTCATTTTCAAATTCAGTGCTCACCAATCAACCTACTTTTGCTCATGAATACCTAGAAAAACAAAACTGGCAAGTTCTGGTTCTGAAGTTAAGACTTAAAGAAAGCCTGACTATTGAACAGTGAACAAAGATTCTGACCATTTAGCACGGCCAGGCACCACACAGGTGCTCAGGAAATGCTTACTGAATGTAGCACACTGCTCAGCTGAAAATGGTAAGGAAACCCCTAAAACAAAGGACATCATGTACAGCTGCTCTTCAGTTTTACAAAGACATTCTTACTAAAGTAGTAACTCGTACTGAAAATTACTTGGCAATAATGCTTACTCAGATTACTTGGTTGTCTTAAGAGAAAGAGGAGACTGTTTATTGCCTACCCTAAGCTTACGTAAAACATGCACACATACACACACATCATCCTACAAGCCTAAGTTTTGCACCTTATGTGGACTCAGATACCTTACTGACAAACAGAGAATGTCATCAAAAGATAGTGAGATGTAGCCAATGGCACATACTGTACCAATAGTAAGGTTTACCAGATTTCCAAGTAATTCACCGTATATTCATACATGGGAATGTATGTATGCATGTATATATTCCGCTCCTGGTAATTTTGCTGTGCCTCAATTTCCACTACTACTATTCCTTTCCCAACAAGAAGGTATGTTCTGATGATTAATAAGATAATGCTTATGAGGCCGTTTTCTTAAAGAAAAAGATATTAAAAAATTTCAAAAACCCTTAAACTTAGAAAATCTCCTATGCTGTTATTGTAGAAATATTAATAACCTCTGGCAGTAATTTTGGGTATTATAATACTAATGCACACAACAGCCTGGTAAATGAAGCACTATTAATATTTTGTATAGCTTCGGCAAAATTTACAATCTACAAATATATGAATCTGGCTTCAAACTACCTGGTAATATTCTCACTGCTTCATACTGATATCTTTATTTGATTACAGTTTCAGCAAAAAGCCTGATTAATCAAAAAGCATTTTTGGATAATTTATTATAACATGCTATTTATGACTGTTATGACTTTTCTTGATAATCTTCAGTATTAACACATTACAATAAATGTCCAAACACATAACACAAATCTAATTTCTAATACCTAAAATTTATTAATCAAATCAAAATATGATTAATTCAATTCTGAAGAGAAAAACTTTAGCAACCAAAGGTCACCTCTGGCCTATGACTAAAAATTGTTTTTATTTTTAACTGTTTTAAAATGAGTATATGAATATACAATTCACAATTATTTCTGTTCAATGACCTCTTAGACTCTAGGTATTTATGAAAAAAGGTATTACAATAATGCATTACATACTCAAATATGAGAAGAATAAAATATTTCATAGAAGTTAATTTTCTAGATTTCTGAAGATTAAGAATATCTGAAGATCAATCCCTTTTATAAATGTTAATCATTTTTGGGTAGAAATTACTTAAAAGCATATAATATATTTCCCTGTTTTCTTAAGCAGAGACACAGCTTTGCATGACTCAAGGACATCATTATGAACATCAATTACTCTCTGCTGTAATACTGTACCTCCCCCACCTCAGCAAGCCTGTCCTTCCACTAAAGTAGCCCAAGACTCCTTTGCTTTTTACAGCTTTCTTCCCCTCCCTCTTTGCCAGTTGTCCCTTCTTCCTAATCTTCTGCCTCCGTCTGTCCGCCCCTAGAAATCCATTCCTCCCAGGGCTTCAAATCTGTGGAAAACCAGGCTCTGTAAAATAGAACCTTTCTTTCACACACAATTTTAAGTCAAGAGGCTCTGGGTAAGGGCCTAAAGTTGGATTCTCCCTTCTCCTTAGACTGATGACACTTTCAGTCTTTAAATATGTGTTTATTACATCTACATACAAAGTGTAAAACCCTATGCCTTTCCCATTTCCTCTTGGATTCAAGTCGCCCATGTCTCAGAGGCTGTCAGAAGTCTGCATACTGAATGGGGATTTTTTTGGGGAGAAGGAATGGTCTAGACCTGGGATTTCATCAGTTTAGGGAGTTCCTAACATGGAAAGTCCCTCCACTGATGCAGATTGGCAACATGTTTATAGCTCATCATCCGGGACACTGAGAGGTTAAGTGACTTGTCCCTAGCCACATAATGAGGATGTGTCAGAAGGAAGGCCAGTCCTTCATCCCCTACATTACACTCCCTCTGCTTGGCAGGGTGTTACTCTAAGGAAAATCAAAGCTATTATTATTACAGAGAACAACAATTACAAAATCTGAAAAGGGGTCCTGGGCAAAAGTCCAAATTCACCCTACAAAATATTTTAAACTGCCTCAAAAGACAAAGAGAAGACTGTCTACTCTAGTTTTCACCTATACCTATCATGTTATAAGAAGACTGCTAAAAGTTGGCACCAGGGCAGGGGAACAATTGGTTTTTACCCTCCCTCTGGAGAACATCATTTGTGTAGGAAAGAGAGGCTCTCATGCCCAATCCTATTTAATGGTGTCTAGTTCTATGAAAACAGGCTGTGGCTATCAGTCGTTATAAGAGGTTACGAAAACAGAAAGAGCTTAGTTTATGCACTGCAATGAAACTACGGATGGGCATGGCGCATCTCCAGTTGCACGCACCCTGTTGCTCATCAAGGGACATGGATCCGAGCTGTTTGTTAACCACAGAAGAAGGAGAATCTGAAACAAAAATGAGATTTCAACTTAAAAATAAGCAGCAGAAAACTGCACAGCAATGTCATGATCATCTACAAGCTTAAAAACAAACATATAAAGGCAGGGGAAGAGAGGTGAGTGCTGTGGGTATGTTTCCCAAGCAGTGAGTAAGCAGAGCCGTGGGGCCAGATACATTACTCCAGGCAAGATTTAGTAACCTTGAATACAGATTGAGAACTTAGAAAATTATTCTTCTAGTTTCATGCATATACACTTTCCCCCACATTTTTTTTGGATAAGAAAGAGGTGCTACACAGATAGATCCATAAAGGGAAGCTCACGAAATGGCAGTACATAATACTCAATCATATTTTTCTTTCATCTATTTCTTAAATCCTTGAAAGAGCCTCTCAGAAAGCTGAAGTGCTCACTGCTTTTTGCTGGGATGTTGTTTTATCAAGTTTGAAGTGAACAACAATTTATCAAGAGCACTAGAATCAAATATTTTAGACAAAATATCTATAGGAGAAATATTCAAGAAAGCAAATGATACCACAGAACCATAATGAATCTTCCGAAAAGTGGTGTTATTCACGCTATATAAAGAGGGTGCAGTGGAGAGGCAGCATAATGTAAAAGGGGCACTAGTCTAACAATCAGAAGTCTAGAGTCTAGTCTTGGCTCTGCCATAAACTAAGTGTATGACCTTAGGCAAGTCACTTAACCTGTCTAGACCTTAGTTTCCTTAACTAAAAAAATGAAGGAGTTCCTCTGAAACATTTCTGTGGTCTTATGATTCTGATTATGTAATATGAGATAATATAATATAATATGAATCTATGAGTATAGAACGGGCCCACTTGTCTTTGCCATGAAACGTAGAAATGTTTTAGTTACACTTCTGCCCCATGACAGGTGCCTCCTGCTTTGTGGCCTTTTGAATCTCCACCTAGGTGCCCCCTCATTTCCCTTATAATAGAGTCATAGGGGATGCTGGGAGAAAAGAGAGGACACTCTTTCCCTCAAAATGCTCAGGATGGCACTCTGATACCCCCCAACCTGACATTTTTATAACCATATTATAGCTTCATTTTCTTTTGTTTCCATTTGAACATGTTAGATATCATTTATTTGCCTCTTTTAAATAGTCCCAGTGAGTCAGGCCAAGTTTCTTTTCTACGTATTTAAAATCTGTTGTCTTCTAATTTCACCAGTTTTTTTTTTTTCTTGTTCTAGTTTCATGTGTTCAACTGCAACTGGTCATCAAATAAGCATTCTCTCTTCAACTATCCTTATTAATCTCCTCTAAAAATTATCCAGGTCTGTTCCTCAGCTTTAACAACATGCCATAAAGGAGTAGAGGGACTAAAAGTTAATTCAAGTACCAACCCAATCCATTAATGTTTATGTTTCTTTTTATGATTGCTTCAGACTAGATATCTGCTTTAGTGCTTTTCACCATTCTTTGGGTATCATTTTTAAAGAAAGGACAATAGTTTGGTTCTTAGAGATAATGAGAAGTATAATGATACCCCTTTTAAAATTAAGCAAAAAATGAAATTTGGTCAACAGAGAAACAATTGCTGGGAAATACTGCAAGAAAGCTCATGGGATATAATATAATCATCATTAACTTTTCCTCAGCCACCAGCATTCATTATAAGACAATTTCAAGATAATACAGTTAAGAACAAAAAATAACTACTTAAGAATTCTTTTATTTGCTTATGACTATTTTTCCACATATTAAAAGTCTAAATCTTATAGGAAGCACTACATTGTGTTTAGTATTCTCCCAAATCACCTAAGATATAAGAATGAAACCAAATCAAATGTTTAAAAAAATCTGCCACCACCTCTAACAAACTAATCATTTACTATGCTAGAGAAAATGACAAAGCAGAGATATTCGAGGACCTTAAAACAGAAAGATAACACACCTGTCTAAAGAATACCGAGATGGTTATTTGCTACTTTTATTAAAAAAAAAAACCAAACTAATCTATACTCTCTCAAATCCTAACCTTTAAGACAACTTCTTCATGGATCATGACTAGAAATCTATTTTTAAACTGAGGTAACAAGAGTGAGGCCAACTGCTCTTTCAGAGAGGATATTCTAGTACCAAAAACATTCTGAATGACATTTAAAAGATCATCATGACAAATTCAAATACAGTAGTAGACTACACATTCATAAATTCAATGTTCACACTGCCATCCTTATATTTTACACCAGATTTCTAAAAATACTTCCAGGTACTAACATGAGTTTCAATACAGTAGCTACAATCTAAAAATACTGTCACTAACTTCTTACTAGTGACAGTTGACCACATTTTCCTGAGAGATAAGGGCATAAGAAAATACAAATACTGGACTATTATTCTAAGGGCCAATTCATTGTAGTAAGAAGCAAAAACTATACAATACTTCCTCTATCTTTTATCCCAAGCTTATAAATCCCAACATAAATATGCAGTGGGTCTGGATTACATTATTTCTCAAGAGTCAATCATTTAGGGTACGGAAAAAATAATCTTACTTCAAATGTGAATATTTCCCACTGCTAATAGCATAATTCTGCAACATTCCCATTTTTAGGAATTATCTTTTGGGAAGCAATAAAAAAATTCACTTAAATATCTAGTCTAATGATCTAATAACCTAATGATTCTAAAAGGCACATGACTGAGTCACTTACATCTAAAATTTTATTACTTTCTAAGGTAAAGATGAACTTCAAAATAAAAATTCACCTAGTACTCATGGTCAATCACTAGGCTAAGTGCTCTAAGTTTTGATAGGATATATTTCAATAACTTATCACTTGGTCCTAAAAAAACTACTTAACATTCTGGCATCACAGTTTCCACATCTGTGAAACAAAAAAGTCATTACTGTCCTGAATCCCAGAAGAGAAATATGGTATTCATCTTCATAATTATATGACTAAATGTGTAATTCCCAAAAGCCACTGTGGAACTACGTGACATGTTTTATTCCTGGAACACTCATTTCAGCTACGATCATCTGATGAACTTACCACATCTGAGGCAGTTTATTAGAGCTACAGAAATGATCTGATAACATCATATTTGACCTACTACACGTATATGTTCTGATGGACTTTTTCCTTTTAATAAGAAATGTACACAAAGGAAAAGTTTTTAGTTGACCTTATTAAATAAAGGGCTGAGTAACAGATCACAAGGCACTCATATGTGAAATGGACTATGAATGATGTACATGGGGCTGCACCCATGAGAACCTGATGCAGGAAAGCAGAGGTATCAA